GGGCTAGTCGTCCGGGTGAGGCATGCAGTGTATGAACTATGCACACACGCACACACACACACACACACACACCACACACACACACACACATCTATATATATATATATATATATATATATATATATGTGTGTGTGTGTGTGTGTGTGTGTGTGTGTATGTAGTTATATATGTGTGTATATATATGTATATATATATAATATATATTATATACATATGTATACAAATATATATATATATATATATATATATATATATATATATATATATATATATATATATATATGCACACGCACACACACACACACACACACACACACACACACACACACACACACACATATATTATATATATATATATATATATATACATATATATATGTGTGTGTGTGTGTGTATGTACATACATACATATATGTGTGTGTATATATATGTATGTATATTTGTGTCTGTGTACATGCACACACGCATTTACTGAGCTACAACGAATGTATGTACGTACCTTATGTAAGTGTGCACTAAACTTCTGAATTCTATTTCTCTGTCCTCTCCAACGCGAACGTCTCCTGCCGCGCCCACGTTTCAGGCACGAAGGGGCGTACTTCCTGCGCACCAGCGACGCCTCGCCGTTCGCCCTCGGGGATGCGCAGTGACCGGCACGGCGACCCACGCGCGCTTGCCCTGGCTCCTGGCACGCGGGGGGGGGGGGAGGGGCGTGGGGGACTCGAATAAAAACATGCCTTTTGTTTTGATTGATTTTTTAATCGGTTGCCCAGTATGTTTTCTATTCTACTAGGATAGAAACCACTCCCTTATATATATATATATATATATATATATATATATATATATATATGTATATATATATATATATATATATATTATATATATATATATATATATATTATATATATTCCGTAATGGGTTTTCCAGTAAGGCGGCGAATCGTTAGTATGAAGAGGTAGATCAATACGGCCGTGAAGAATCTCATCCTTATTAATTATGCAGACGTTTCGAAGGGTTACATATATTCATTATCAATGCTGTAAATTAACCAGACAGAAGGGTCATTAGACTAAGTAAATGTTACAAAAATACAAATAAAGCAAACAAAATAATAGTAATATAAACAGAACCCATATACAGAAAAATACAGAACATGATATGAATATATATAAAGAAAAAATAAAAACGTAAAAATGAATGGTAAACCAACCAAAATGGGTGTTTATAGAAATGAACAGTCTAGTGGGAGAACAAAGTGGTAGCTGTGGTTATGTTGTTTAGCTCTGGCTGCATCTTATTTATCAGGAGGGATTCTGAGGTTATGAGGTCTAGGCAGGAGGAGTGAGATGCCAGAACACTAAAATCTGTGGTAGAAAAAGGGTGTGAGTGTACAGATAACGGTAGGGTGTGAGTGTGAATGGGAATGCTCTAGAAGGGTTTGCTCAGCGGGAGGCCAGGCCTGCAAGACGCCTTTTCGTTCGGAGATGCGGCGACATAGCCATCGTGAGGTTGATCCCACGTACCTAGCTTGGCAGTTAGGACAGATAAACAAGTATACTACATTAGAACATGTCAGAGCTTTGATTTAAAGGATGTTTTAAGAACTTTGCTAACGTGTTGGTGTTACTGAAAACAAAAGTAAACATAATCTTGGGGTAATTATTTTGCAAGAAAGTTTTTAACGGTTTCCTGATTTCATACCTTAGATCACCCATATAGGGTAGTTTAATATATCTATGATATCTTTTGACAGTGGAGACAATTTGTTCATTGATGAATTTCTTACTCAGAAAGATTCTGGTAATTTTATCGAACTGTAATGGGTAACCATTTGTTACAAAGAAGTTTTTCAAAAATAACATTTCATTATGGAAGGCAGTCTAGGTGCTGCATGAATTGTAGGTTGGAACTCCCTGGCTGAATAGATGCTCGCTGGTCAGTTGGACACACAGCACTTTCTAGCTGAGGTTAGAAAGGTAAATCTCTGTTGCTTTTCAGATGATGGACAGGCCATGTGTGACATCACCGTAGTAATAACGCTACGTATGGTCTGAGGAGCCTGAGACAGTCGAAGTGGAGGCTCATTAAATGTATTTCATTTTCAACGACAGGAATGATCAACCATAAGCTGATAATTTCCCTTCCTTTCATCTTTATATAATTTTCCTCTCTTACGCTTCACTATAATAGCTAATTTCCTTCTCAAACTGTCACCTGCGACTACTTCCATTACTATATCCACAGACCATTAAAATAACTAAATAAGTAACAAATATGTCCCCTATCGACAAGGCATTATATTGTGCTGTTCTCGCCAATTTCTCCACCATTTCTCCTCTCGGTTACATGGAGGCAGGTCAGGACTCGTCTGATTATCATAGGTCAACACAAGTGGATTTAACAATTACGTTAATACACATATAAATTATGTGATGGTAAAATGTGATTTTAAATACCAGCACTCACCTTACCTGTTTCATGGAGGAAGGCCAGGACT